CTCCGAGCGCGTCTGTGGTCAGGTGGGCAGTGAGGGTCCTCAGCTGGAGCTGGGTGACCTGGCGGGAGCAGCCCCACCAGCCACGCGTCCTGTGTGCTGCTCGGTGCGGAGACGCGGGGCCTGGTCTGTAGCATCGTCCCCAGCCTGGTCCTGGGCGGTCAGGGTCCACGGTCAGGGCGTTCTCCCTGGTCCCTGGCCTGGCCCTGGGCTGTGGTGAAGGACGGTGCTCCCACACCCCTTCCTCTGAAAGTGCTGCCGACGCTGTTTCTCACGATGCTGACCTAACAGCTCTCCCGTCAGTCCAAACGCCTGCATAAGCACCTCGAGCCGTTCGCTCCCTCCCACTCTTTCCAAAGAGACAGAGCCCGTTCCCCCACCTGACACCGCGTCCCACCCCACCCCCCTGCGGCCGCCCCTCTGCCCCTCCCTCTGCCGCCCCAGCCCTGCAGCTCCCGCTCTGCCTGGAGTTTCCAGGGTCTCTCCCTGCACATCATCCCGCCTGAGGGCCCAGAGCAGGAAAGAGAACAAATGCTCTGGGAGCAGATTCCCCATAAAGATTCACACAGAGAAGAAGGTAGAGAGCGGACGGCATCCTCTCGCCCACGTGGAGACACCCCGAGGCCTCGTTGTCCCCGGGAAGAAGGACCCTCGAGCCTCCAGGAGAGGGGCTGGGGCTTCGCTGTGTCGGCGGCTCCCACCTCCAGCAGAGAAACTGCACAGCTTGAGAGAGGAAGCTGAGCCGCTGTCGTCACCGCCCGCGTCTCCTCACACACAGGCTGCGCGAGCACGCTGTTTCCGCTGCCCCTCGGCAGGTGCCAGCACCGTCTGACCTGGGAGTCGGGGGCGCCCAGCAAAGCCCCCTGCCCCAGCCCACCCCCACCCCCGCTGCCTCTCCCCCTCCCCTCCCTGCACTCCCCCCTGCAGGCACCCCAGCCCAGTTCTCCCTCCCTTGTCCCGGCTTCCCCACAACCACGGGTAGAAACACTGAGGGGCCGGGTGTGCAGAAGCTCCTGAGGAAGAGAATTGAAATCAGCCGCCGGCACCTTCAAGAGCACATGCACGTGTGGGGCACGGTCACACGCATGGACGCGTGAACAGATGGGTGAGTGTGTGAAGGAAGGAATGGAGGCAGCACATGCCAGGAAGGTCGGATGAACAAGTACCTGGGGACGATTGAGGTGCCCGTGACGGAGGCCCCACGTACAGGTGAGCTCTGTACGCCGTCTCTCCCTGTTCTAACCCGGGCGGCAACAGGAAGCATCGGCGTGTGCTGGACAGGAAGCTCAGACCTCAGCTCCTGCAGATCCTGGTCGGCGAGGTCCCCGGGCAGAGGCCTCACGTGCCTGGGGGCCGGAGCCCTGCCCCCCACCCCCACCCCGGGCCTGAGCCTGAGGAGGGTGAACATAAACGGATGACAGCGCCGAGCAGCCTGGCGAGGGAGGGTCGTGGGAGCTTCCAGAGACTGGCTCCACTTTAATGCAATTAGCGCAGGAATGACGACGTGAGCGTTAGAGAATCTTTAAAAATTCCATTTCGGCCAAGAGACTACTTATCTCACAGGAGAGGCCCTCCGGCCGGCCAAGAGCAGCAGGCGCTGCTTATTCTAGAAAGAATGCGTCGTGTGGAGCTGGGATCCTCCGCGCATCTTTAGTGCCCGTTCGTCTCGCAGAGCCGCTGGTCCAGCCGCCGCAGGGCGTCCGTTCCGGCCGGAGCAGCCTGGTGGGGAGTCGGAACGCAGGGCTCAGCCCCACAGGGCGGCTCGGGTGTCGTGTGGGATTTGTAAGCAGTTCGCTTACTATCGTTTGTGTGATGGGGACACACACACCAGTGACATCAAGTCCTCCCCGTCCTGGCGCTCACCCTCCCTCGAGCGGCAGGTCCTCCCCAGGAACTCGGGGACCCTGCGCGGCAGCGGGCTCTGTCGCTCCAGGGCGTCCGCAGGCCCAACCAGAAATGCTCCCTCGCTGAGCCTCGCGGGAGACTCTTCTCGGCTGCGCGTTCGCCTTTGGGGCGACAACACGGCAGGAACCCAACGAGACGGGAGCAGCCAGTCCTGTCACGTCCGAGGCGACAGCACTTCCTCGTGTGAAGATGCCACTGCTGTCCGTGTGCCTGTGGACGGACACCTAACGTTCCCCACCTCGCGTTGTGGCAGGTCCCACTGCTCAGAAGAAGCACGTGCCTGAGTCGCTCTCCCGCATCCTCCTGGGCACCCGCCTGGCGTGGGATCGCGGTGTCAGGCGTCCCCACGTGTAGCTGTCGGAGGAAACATCCGACGGTTTCCCACGGCGGCCGCCCCCCCCCCCACGCCCCACAGCAACCCGCTCCGCACCCTCGCTGACACGCGTGTCCCAGTGGGTGTGAGGTGCTGCCGCTGCATCTGTTTCCGTGGCGACTGATGATGTCGAGATGTCTCCGTGTGCTCATTGGCCGTTGGTGTCTCTTCTTGAAGAGTGTTGGTTTAAATCCGTGGCCCACTTTCTAAAATGGAGTTTTCTGCCTTTTTGTTGGGTCGTCTGAGTGAGTTCTGTATTCCGGACACCAGGCCCCTAGCGGGTACGAGCCTCATCAATACTTTGGTAATTGGTCATTTGTCTTTTCGCTTTCTTGATAACGTCCTTTGGTACATAGATTATTTTTTCATTTTGAGAGAGTCCCGTTTATCTACTGTTTCTTTTGTGGCTCGTGCTTTTCGTGTCACATTCAAGAACCCAGGGTCCAGTCCAGGGTCATGAAGATGGGCCTGTGCTTTTCCTGGGTTTGGTGGTTTTGCTCTTACATTCAGATCGCTACTCATTTTAAGTTACTTTGTTTATAGTGTGAAGAGGGGGTCAACGTTACTCTTGCTCGTGGAAAGAGAACGGGGGTGTGAGTTTATTTCTGGACTGGCTGTCTCATGGTCCGTAGGGCTGTCCTGCTGCCAGCACCACAGTCTGAACACTGTAGCTCTGGGGAAGCTGTGAAATCAGGAAGGGTGAGCCGTCCAAATGTGTCTTCTTTTCTTAGTACTTGGGCTTTTTAGCGCCCTTTGACCCCTGTGAGCCTGAGGGCCTCGTCCGTTTCTGCGCGAGGCCGGTGGGATCTGATGGAAGCCGCGAGGAGCAGGAGCGGGAGGCGGGTGCCCCGGGTGCCCCTCCCTCCGCGGCTCCGTCTCTCACAGGAGCGTGCTCCGCCTTCGTTTCTTCCAGCAAAGCTTCACGTTTTCCTTTGTGGGGCCTTTACCTCTCTGGTTGGAGTTATTTCTAGGCATTTGCTCGTATTGGATGCTGCGGTAAATGGATTGTTCTCTCACTGCCCCTCCCGTCCCTCACGGGAGGTGTCTGACACACAGCTGACCTTTCCTGTCCGTCTTGTCCGACCCCCTACTTTTCAACTCTCTTGAGACATAACTGACATGCAACACTGTGAGCCTAAGGGTTACACCATTTTCAATCCCAGGAAGATTCGGCGCGAGAAAGGAGCTTGGGAATTAGAAAGAAATCACCTGTAAAGCCCTTTGGCCCGGACGCTGGGCACCGCAGCGACGGCTGTGGACTGTCAGTGTGACCTTCCGTGTCCAGCAGCACTAATCCCCGGAGGGTGGCCAGCCCGGCGCTGCTGGGGCGCTGCTGGCAGAGCCGGGTCCACCCCCACCCCCCGGACGGAGCCCCACAGCCAAACCTCCTCCCGTCACCATTCGCCCCCTTTAGCCTTTCCTACACCCTCCCCTCTGGTAGCCCACACGGTCTGTGTCTGCGTTTTGTTTGTTCGCTTGTCTTGTTTGCTCGTTGCTGCTTTCAGGTTCATGTTCGCATGTGAGTGGCCCGAGGGGGGTCTCAACCTTCCTGTCCGACGTGTTCCACGTAACGCTGCTCCCGGCCGTCCCTGCGTCTGCGACAGCCGCGCTCCGTCTCTGATGGCTGAGTGGGTTCCCACTGTGCACGGGTGCCACACGTTACAATGCAGTGTGTTCCTGAAACCACATAAAAAGAAAAATAATTCCATCTTTTTAAATAGGAAAAATGGTGTGTTCTGTTCCAACCAAGGATGACTAGACGATTTCACAGGCAGGAAACTAAATCCACGGAACGTGTGTGCGTGACAAACAACTGGAAAGTAAATAGTCCCTAAACTAAGCGCAGTCAACGCTTGATTGTGCCAGCATCTCCCCTCTTTCTACCGTTTCCCCCCAAAATCTCCCCTTTGGATGCTCAGTTCTCTGCAGCCAGACTGCTCTTCAGCCTGAAGCCACAGCACAGCCAGGCCCTCGGGCACACGCAAGGCTGGACCAGGCCGCCTCCTGGGACCTCTGGCGTGTTCACGGCACGGGGAGGGGGCGACGGTAAACCTGTTGGGGTGTCCCCTCCCCCCCCCCCGGGAGGAAACTCTTCTTTTTAAAAAAGGGAGAGAGATCCGTTTCTATAAAACCTTTTTACAGTTTATTTTCTGTTGTTCATCTTTAAAGTATAAAAATGAGGTTCTAGCTAAATGCAGGGTTTCCGTGGTGAAGTGTTGACCGTGTGAACAAATAAATAAATATTTACAGTCTTTGGCAAAACAAGCAAAGTCTCATCAATCTGTACGAGAAGATTGTTTAAAAAAACATAAATAATTTACAAAAAATATGGTACATTCTAATATTCACATCGTCATCCCACACCGCTGCGTCCTTCAGCCACACCCTCCCCGCCACCCTGTTGTCGTGGGAACAGAAGTCCACAAAAAAGTAAAAAAGTGCAGCAAAGTACAGAAAACCAACCTCAGAGAGAGCAGCAAACTGACTTTATCAGATGAGATGGGGGAGTGAAGGCAAACGCTTCAGGTTCTCTGGACTTGACCTCGAAACGAAATGTTAACAGAAGGGAAGGATCTGCCCGTCGGACGAGACCAGCTCCTCTGATGAGGCCCCCCCGTCGGAAAGGTCACGCAGCTGAAAGCACAGATGGACCCGACCCTCACACAGGACAGGACGGGGGAGGGCGCATGGACGTCACCGGCAACAGCATAGATTAAGGTTCCACTCTCAGCGCTCATCACCATTTGTTTATTCTACCGCATTTTACAGCACGCTTGGTCTGACAACATAAATTATCGAGCCCCGTGTTTGACAGGAAGATCTGCTGTCACCGCCTTTGTCTCACGTGCTGGCCAGGTGCTTCTGGACCTCGCACGCCCTCCGTGAGCCCTGACAGATGTCAAGTGAGTCCCTGGAGGAACTGCCTTCTGTCTCCTTCAATAAATACGGGCACAGCGTGTGTCACTGGAGCCTCAATGAAACGCGTCACCGGTCGGGTGCAGGCGACGGCCGTGGCTTCAGAGCCCTGACTGGGAGTCGGGCGCCGGCGGGCACTGCCTGTCTCTGCCTGCCTGGCCTCGGGGCAGAGGTGGGAGAGAAGCCGGGTGAGCACTCGGGTCAGACGCGGGCAGGTGGCGACCGGTGAGCTCTCCGAGTCCTTGACAGCTCGAGCAGCCCCGTGAGGCCCCGCCAGGCCCCACCCGGCCCGTGCGCCAGCCAGTGGGCAGGATGTTCCCTCCTGGGCAGACCCCATCTCTCTCTGCCGAGGGGGCTGTCACTGTAGGAAAGATTAGGGGAGGGGTTTGTGTTGCCCGGCTACCCCCACTTCAGACGTGAGGGAGCCTCTTCCTGTGGGAGCTAACGTGACTCGAGCGTGGACAGCGCCACAGGAGCAGCGGCAGCCGGGCACGGGGTCCGAGTGACGGTGACGCCTCACGCACAGCGTGCCCGCAGCTCCGTGTGCACATACGGTCAGCAGTCACGCTTTACACGCACACGTCGTTCTCTCTACACAAACAAGAAGCAATGCCACGGCGGCCGTCAGGCCACGTCAAGTCTCGTGTGCCGTCACTGCTTCCTGGCAGGCTGGGCGTCCCTCTTCGGGTCCCGTTGGCATCTGCCCCCTGGAGGCACTTGGGCTTGGGGTTGAAGGAGGTGAAGAGCCGCTCGAAGTTAAGGTCAAGGTCAGAGACGCTGCCGGAGAGAGAAGCCGGGGACCAGGATGCTGAGGGGTCTGGTAACAGCATCTACGGTGCGTGCGGGACACGCGCGAGTCGGGGTCACACATCTAGAAAAACAGCAGTTAGGATGGGGCATCTGTCTCATCCCATTTTCTTTGACCTACAGCCTAAAATGCCATTATTTTAATTTAAAAAAAGGACATCCATGCCCCACCGGCATGGCTCAGGGGTTGAGCATCGACCTATGACCCAGGAGGTCACGGTTCGATTCCGGTCAGGGCACAGGCCGGGGTTGTGGGCTTGATCCCCAGTGTGGGGCGTGCAGGAGGCGGCCGATCCATGATTCTCTCTCATCCTGGATGTTTCTCTCTCTTCCCTCTCCCTTCCTCTCTGACATCAGTAAAAGTGTATTTTTTAAAAGAGACGTCCACGTGCGGCTGGATGATGCGCGGATGCAGACCTGAGGGCGGGAGGAACAAATGCCCGGAACGGCCACTAGCTCAGGACAAGGACACTGCGCCGGAGGCAAGGAGGTCCGTCGGCACCGAGCCCTCCGCTCGGTCCCCACGTCTGTGTCACGTGTGGTCTGAGCAGCAGCTCTGAGCCTCACTTGCCTCGTTGCACAAGCGGTATTTTCTGTCTACGTGAAGGTGTGAGGCCTGGGGGAGCCAGGTTCCCTCCAGGTCTGTAATAATCTGAGCAAATGCACTTGAGAGAGAGAGCTGAGCCTCCTCCTGAGCCTCCTCCCTGCCTCCTCCCTCTCCCTCCCTCCTTCCTTCTCCCTCTCTTGCTCTCTCTCTCTCTCTCTCTCGCTCGCTCTTGCTCTCTCTCTCTTCCTTCCACAAGGGCAGTGCTGTAAAGTCCCATTAGGGTCCTGGAGGTGTAGGAAGCGCTGGGCGTGTGGTGGGTGCCGTGGACGGTTGGGGCTGAGCATTTGCTAAGTGTGTGGCCTCCCACATTCAACTTCAACCATCACAGCAGCTCAAGCTGAGCAAACCCGCACCTGCCAGGGCCAAGCCCTCGCTCAGGCCGCAGCCTCGAGACCCACCGCACAGGTGTGCCGCCCGCCTCCGGCCTGGACGCTGCCGCACCCACCTCTGCACTCGTACTTGAGGTCCGAGAAATAGACCATTTCTTGAGAGAAGACGAACAGGCCCAGCCGCCCGCCCGCGTAGGTTTGGTCGTAGATGGGTCCCGAGTCTGCCATGACCTGCTTCCCTTCGTGCACCAAGACCCTGCGGGCGGGGGCGGGGGGGGGCGGCGTGAACTCTGGGGGGGCTCCTGGGAGGAAACTGCTTGCTCCCCACGCCCCTTCCCTTCCCTTCCCTTCTTCCCCCACTCACTGCCCAGGCCAGAGAGCGGGGTTTGCCCGACTCTGCCTTTCAGAGCCAAGAACAGTCGGTGCAGTGAGCAGCACGTCCTTCCGTCCCTCAGGAGCGGCTCACCGTATGTAGCCTGTTCGGGGCCTGGGTCAGGGGAGCTCACCTTACATAGCCCGTCCGGGGCCTGGGTCAGGGGGGCGGGGAGCTCACCGTATGTAGCCTGTCCGGGGCCTGTGTGTCAGGTGCCACCTGTAGGCGGTGTAGTCCTTCCAGCCAATGTTTTTGGGGTCATGCCACAGCGTCCGCACCTGAGGGAACGTTCCCCGAGTCCTGAGCGCAGCCACAATAGCAAATGGGAACGGGGGGGGGGGGCGTTGCTCTGCATACCAACCCCGCAACCCCACCCGTGGAGCAAGCTCCAGGGCGGATGGAGAGCCACCGACAGGGACCAGGACGTTCAGTGCTAAGAGCACAGCCCTGAGCCGGGTCACGGGTCCAGGTTCTGGACCCTCCGCGCCCTGAGCCGGGACCGTGGGAGAAACACCTACTTTTAAACCATCTCCCCGTCTAATTGGCCAGAGAATCGCCCGTCATGTTTGCAAAAGTACCAGCACGGTGCCTTTAATCAGGGGGAGACTCGATAAAGGGGGTTAACATGCTGGTCACTGAGTTAAAAAGCACAAAAGAGAAGGTGGGTGTCCCCAGGGTGGGCCGGCCCCCCTCACCTGCCCCGCCGTGTTCCCCGTGTGCCACAGCGCGTTCCGCAGGTGCTCGCCGGTGCCCGTGGTGGAGTTGACCACCTTGAGGGACACGCCCGAGTAGCCGTAGGCGCGGGTGGGCTGGTCCTCCCAGTAGGTCTGGGTCACCTGCTTCCACATCACCACGTAGAAGCGGCTGCTGGACTGGTAGCCGAAGACGAAGCCGGCGTAGTCGTCGTCCCGGTCGGTGTTCACGTAGAAGGTGCCGCTGAAGTCCACGGACCCGAACTCGTCGAAGCCTGCACGAGGGGCAGGGCCGGGCGGTCAGAGCAGCCCTCGGGCGCCCGGCCAGCCCTTGGCCGCTCGGCTTGCCCGCCCTCACCCGGGTTCTGTCCCTGGGTGTGAACACAGGAAGAGGGGTTCGTCTTTGAGGATCCGACCTACGGAGCCAGCAGAGCCACACGCACTGCGTTAGGTGACGGTGTGTGGCTCAAGGTCATAAAATAGGCAAATGGCTTCCTAAAAGCCTTTCAGAGGCGAGGGCGAGGCAAGTGCCAGCTCTGGGCAGAGGTGGTTACAGCCGCGGGGACGGGGCCACTGAGGACCCCCGAGCCCCTGTGGCTGTCAGGAGCAGCCGTGGGCACGGGCACGGGGCCGGAGGCTCACCCACGGCGATGCCGGGGTCCGAGTTGGCCGTCTGCACCAGCTCCTTGCCCTGGTGGCGGATCACCCAGTTGGGGTCGATCTGCGTGGTGCCCTTGGGGTCCAGGTGCACCATCTGGAAGTTCCTGAAGTCGGTCTCGCTGATGGCGCTGTTCTCGGGACACACGTCGTCGATGTCGGGGACGCTGTCGTTGTCGAAGTCGTCCCTGCAGGCGTCGCCCCGCCCGTCCCCTGCCAGGAGGACAAGACGCGCAGGGTCAGGAGGGGCCACGACTCAGGAGCTCGGCTCTCGGCCCTGGGAGCCGGTGGGCGGGCGCTGGCCGAGGCACCGTCACACCTACCGTCCGCGTCCTCCTGGTCGGGGTTGAAGACCAGCCGGCAGTTGTCACGGTCGTCGGGCACCCCATCGTTGTCGTCGTCCGAGTCGCAGGCGTCGCCGCGGCCGTCGCTGTCGTGGTCGGCCTGGTTGGCGTTGGAGACGTAGGGGCAGTTGTCCTGGTTGTTCTGGTGGCCGTCGTCGTCGATGTCCTCGTTGTCGTCACACTGGTCCCCCACCAGGTCGTTGTCCACGTCGACCTGGGCACCGAGCACCCGCCGTGAGCGGGGTCTCCCCCTCGCCCCCCGGGAGCGGCCGGTCTGGGGGCGGGAGCGGCTCCCCGAGATCACAGCCCGGCAGGACCCGGTCTCCATCCCTGCTCCCTCCACGTTTATGTCTGAGACTGAAAGGCCCGGCCCCCCGCCCCCGCTCCCTGACGCCCGCCAGCCGCCCACCTGGTCGGGGTTGTGCACCAGGGGGCAGTTGTCGCAGTGGTCGCCCACGCCGTCGCCGTCCGTGTCCCTCTTGGTCCGGGGTTGTAGAACGTAGGGGCAGTTGTCCGCGCTTCGTTGAAGACGTCTGCGGGGGGAGAGGGCGCGGTCCCGTTTAGCAAAAGCACTGAGCTCCCTCCCGTCACGGAGCCTCACAGCCAGGCTCCCGCTGGACAGAGCGGGTGGTGAGTGAGGAGATGACTGGCTGCGTGGACGCGCCTGTGTGACATTTCCCGTTAACTTTCAGATTTCACCCCCGGTGGCCACTGGCTGTGCCCGGTCAGCTCTGAGTCCACGGTGCTATTCCCCGAATAGCCACTCAGGACACGCGCCCTGGGTGCCCGGGCGAGCAGCTGAGGCTCCGAGGCCCTGGCATCTGTCCCCACGTGAGTGGGAAAGTAACGGGCACAGATGCGGGCTTTCAGGTGCCACCTTCGCCCAAGAAACCTGAAAACAGATCACGAAGTCCATCAAGACAGGAGTCGTGAAGAGACAGGTTCCCAGGGGACCACGGTGTCACCCTCAGTGAGGAGGCAGCAAACACCCCAAACCAGGAGCCCAGGAAGAGTGTGAGGCAAGCCTGGGGGGAGGGGGAGTCACCCAGGTGCGGGGCGGCGGGAAAGGACCCGGGGCTGCGACCCGTCCACGGCCCGGGAACGACAGGCGGATGAGAACAGCTCAGAGAGGCGCCTCCTCGCGCCTCAGCCCATGGGGCGAGCTGAGCGGATCCAGCAAACACAGGACAGAAGTTTGCCAACTTCACACTGAGCCTCAAACACGCTGGTGCGGACGCGGCACTGACCGTCGCCGTCGATGTCCACGGAGCAGGCGTCGCCCTCGCCGTTGTGGTCGGTGTCGATCTGGGCGGGGTTGTGCACCTGCGGGCAGTTGTCGCAGCGGTCCCCCACCTCGTCCTTGTCGTAGTCGAACTGGCGCGGGTTGAAGAGGAGCTGGCAGTTGTCCTGCAGGGACAGCGGGGGAGGAACTAGAGAAACAGCCCAGCAGGCACACCGTCCAGCAGAGGTCAGAGGTCGGGGCCAGTGCGTCCGCCCGGGCGTGGCCAACCCAGCACACTCCTGACCTCAGATCGCTTCCTACTTATATGTGCACCTGCCTCTCTTGAACATTTTGAGGTTTTCTAGCGCAGAGATGACAGCATATACTTCCTGGTGAAGGCAGGTGCGTAAATACAAGTGAATGAATGAGTGAATAGATGAATGAATGAATGAATGAGTCATTGGGCCGACGGAAGGCAGATGCATAAATACAAGTGAATGAATGAATGAATGAGTGGGCGAGTCAGTGGGCCGACAGAAGGCAGATGCAGCGAAGCTGTGAGTGAAAATTGCATCATCTACCCTGCAGGTCCCGGTTAGGTGTGGCTGTAACTCCTTTATGATTCGCTACAGGTTTCTCAGGAAAGGGAGGCGCCTGCACATGGCCCCAGGGCACGTGTGTCGCCGTATCTGCCACAGCCCCGCCCACCACTGCGCCACCAACGAAGAGCTAGTTAAGCTGTTAGCAGCGCTTCTACCGAGCGCCCGGCAGCTCCAGGCTCGGCCGGTCACTGCTGGGGTGAAGGACCAGCCTTCTCGTCGGTGACTGGGTGACGCAAGCAGGAGCCCCATCACGACAATTCACGGCGACTGTTTAGTGGGAGGCGCTCATCCCTGACCCCTCTGCTCGGGCCCAGCGGCCCCTCCCACCTTCTCGTCGCTGACGCCATCGTTGTCATCGTCGTCGTCGCAGGCGTCACCGATGCCGTCCTTGTCGAAGTCTTCTTGCCCCGAGTTGGGCAGCAGGGGGCAGTTGTCCTGGGACCAGAAGAAGAACACGTATGACCCCCAGGCCCTTCCTCCAGGCGGGCAGCCGCAGCTGAGGACCGAGATGGAGCCTCACATCTGTCGGCCTCGCAGGAGGGCTGCCCTGGAGACCACGTCACCACCCCTAGGAGTCGAGACCACAGACGCCGTGTCCTGAGCCCAGGACCCCATGAAGCTGCCAAACGCCTGAGGAGGGACGGCTGCTCCGAGAAAATACGGACGCGGACGGAGCCCCACTGTCCCTCTCCTTCCCGTGAACGTCAGCTCGTCCACCAGGAGCCCACAGCGCCTACGGCGTCACTCCCGGGCCACCCAAGCCTCAGGCTCAAGTCACTGCCCTGGGTCACTCTTCCCAGAGGCAGGGACGTGCGCAACACATCACCGATCACACGTCGAGGCCGAGCTGTGCGGACACGGAGGGAGGGGACCAAGTGCCCGGAGAGGGTCGGCAGCACAGCCTGTGTTTCTGACGCCCACCAAATGGGTGGCCCGGCCGCACCCTCACCCCGTTAGAGACCCTGGGGCTCCGCCCGGCCCTCACCTTGATGCAGTGGTAGGTGGCGTTGGTGGCACAGACCAGGTTCTTGTTGGGCCAGCCGTCCAGGTCCGAGTCCTCCCCGCAGATGAGCCCGTCGCCCGCGTAGCCCGTCTGGCACTCGCACTTGTACATGGGGTCGCTGAAGTGGCCCAGGTAGATGCACTCGGCATGCCGGTGGCAGCGGTGGGTCTTGTCCTGGCACGGGTTCTCGGGCTCGCACACCTGGAGGACGGCCACACTGGTGGGGACCCTGGGACCCCAGCCCCACCCGCACGGGGTCCAGGCTGCGTGCTCAGGGCTGCACGGACCTTCCCAGGGAGGCCTCCCTAGGGACAGTCGCTGGGACTCTGCTCCTGCAGGAGCCGCCTGGAGGCACCTGTGTCCCCACCGAGCGCTGCCGACACCTGTTGGAGCCACAGGCGACCGAGGAAGCTGCTGATTCAGGAAAAGCTGAGTGTCCTCGTGGATCCTGTGGCCACAGCTGAGCTCTGCCCCCACGTGGTCGGCTCTCGAGGGCCGACAGCGGATGTGGGTCCGTCCTGCCCGCTCTCCCCCAGATGCTGCCCGTCTTCTCCCGTCTCCACCCTCCGCCTCCCCAGATCCCGCTGACTGTTTGGAAGACCGAGCCACACAAAGGGCTGCCCGCTGCTCACCTGCTTTTCCGTCTGCGCGGCCTCCAGGCCGACCCCGAAGGGCTGGGTGCCCTTGTAGCGAGGCGGGCAGGGCAGGCAGTGGAACCCGGGGTCGGTGTTGACGCAGCGCTGGGACTTGCTGCTCGTGGAGAAGCAGACGTCGGTGACCAGGGCGCACTGTGGGGACAGGCAGGGGTGAGCCGCCTGCCCCGCCTCTGAGGCGCCCCCTGCCCGGCCCGGAGCGGGCACCCACCTCGTCCAGGTCCTCGCAGTGGGTCCCGTTGCCCAGGAAACCCACTGGGCAGGAGCCGCAGGACCAGGAGCCGTCGGGGAAGCTGCTGCACTGGGCGCCCGGGAAGCAGGGGTTAGACAGGCAGCCGTCTGCGTGGGGGGCAGAGCGGTCAGGGCTGCGGGTGGGGCGGCCGCCGGAACCGGGCCCAGGAGCGACTCGGACACTCACTGCGCCCGGGGGTCCCCTGGGCAGGTCAGCACCGCGGTCTGGTTGTAGGGAAACTAAGGGAGGGACGCCCGTGCTGGAGACGGGCACGTAAGGTGGGGGTGACGGGCACCTCGGGGGCCCGCACACGGTGGGGGCACCGCGCATGCGGGGGGTGGGGGACGGAGGGGCGCCGCCGCCCAGAGCGCACGGCTGGGCTGCGAAGCTGGGGGTTCACGTGTCACCACAGGCTGTTGTGCAGCGTGTGCAGCCTCGTGCACGGTCCTGCTTTTACGGAAACGCAGAAGCGCGGAGGGACCTAACGTGGTGGGGACAGGTGTCTGTGTGCCTGTCGATGTTCTGTTTTCTGTCTATTTCCTCCCTTCCCTCGGAATGAAAGCCAGTGGTCACTTCAAAGACGACTGTGGCCGCGGGACAGCGTGGGGCCTGGCGATCCTCCGAGCGTCCGGCACACACCTGCGGGGCAGCTCCGCTTGTTGCACATCTGCCGCTCCGTGCGGTCGCCCACACAGGCCTTCCCCCCGTGCTGGGGCTCCGGGCTGTTGCAGACGCGCGTCCGCTCACGGATGCCGCCGGCGCAGGTGACGGAGCAGGCGGACCACGGGGACCAGGGGCTCCAGCGGCCGTCGACTGCGGGGAGAGCGGGGACAGCGTCAGCCGGGGTGCCCTGCAGGCCGGGCGGGGGAAGCCGGGATACGGTCTCCACGCGGCAGCATTTGGTGAGAAGCCCTTGGGTGCTGAGGTCGGGCCACGGAGCCGAGGGTCTCGGTTGGTTTGTAGTTTCCTCTCGGAAGAGACATCGCAGCCCCTTCGGGTGTAGAGGTGACGGGGCTGCGGGGACCTCGGTCACGTGGGGAGAGGTGGTGTGACCTTGAGATTCAGTGTTCACGGCCCCTTCCCATCACCCCACTCCCTGCTCTGGGTGACAGGACACCCAGGACTCAGGCTCCCGGAGGAGGTCCTGCTGCTGGACCCACGTTCTCTCGTCCTGGACTTGCACCCGGTGGCCGGCCGTGTCCGGCACCTGGTTCTGGGCGCCTGCTGTGCCTGTTCTGGTTCTGGTCCCCTTGGTGCAGGTTAATGTGACTTCCGGGGGCAGCGCCCAGCCCGGGTGCTGGGCATTGACACCCAGGGCTGCCTCCAGGCCAGCCAGCAAGGGGACCGGGCAGCTTCCACCTCTGCCTGGTCCCAGCTGCCCGCACGCGCCCGCCCCCACCCGCCTCGCCCCACTCACTTGGACACGGGGCTCCCTGGCAGCCTTTCGTCTCGCGGCCACTGCCTTTGCAGCCCTTGCCCCCCATCTGGGGCACCGGCGAGTTGCAGAGACGGATCCGCGTGATGTTGCCGACCCCACAGGTCGCGGAGCAGGAGGACCAGGGCGACCAGTGGCTCCAGCCGCCGTCCTGCCGGACTAGCACACGAGAGGCGTGGGCGTCAGCAGCGGCCTGGAGGGGAGGGGACCAGCCGGAGCCCATGGACAGGCCGGTGCCTCCCAGACCCCACCCTCGGAGCAGACCCCCGGGACCCGCGACTCACTGCGGTGGTCGCACTTGCCCAGGCTGCAGGCCCGCGTCTGGATGGAGGGCCCCAGGCAGGTGTTGCTGGTGACGTCGCAGGACCTTCCTCTCTGCTGGGTGCCGGGCCCACAGGTGACGGAGCACTGGGTCCACTCGGCCCACGGGGACCAGCCCTCCTCACCGTCGGCCGCTGGGAGGGAAACAGGCCGGTCACGCCTCCCCCGGTGGTGGCGCAGGAGGGACCGGCCGGACAGAAGCCCTCGGTCCTCATTCAAGGCCTTGCAGATGCTTGCTGATCACGGGGCAGCGGGGTGGACAGCGGGTGAAGCGCCCCTGGGCACGCGCGGTCTGGGCCTCCCCCCCGAGCAGAGGACAGCGAGGCCGCCCGCACTCACAGTGGAAGCAGGAGGGGCAGCAGTCCCCCTCCAGCAGCGACGGGTTCGCGCAGGTCACCGGCGGGCAGGAGATTTGGTGGCAGACGGTTTTAAATTTCTGCGAGGAAAGAGAGGCGTTCATGTAGCCCCTCTGCTCCCCCACACCGACGGCCCGCCAAGGCCGGCTGCCCGGCCAGTGCCAGGGGCTGAGGAGCGGAGGCAGGGTCCGCGCCCGGAGCGCAGGCTGCGGGCCTCACCTTGCAGGTGCATTTGGTGCAGCTGTCCACCACCCAGGTCTCGTTTTCCGCGAAGAACCGGCCGTCCTGCCAGCACGCGGACATGTTCCTGGTCTTCGGGGGGCCCCCGATGAGCTCCCAGAGGAACTGGTTGTCGTTGGACTGGAAATCGGGGCGGGTTTAAGGACAGACAGGAACCCTCGGTGGCCGTGCTCCCTGGGAAAGACGTCCCTCCCCCAGCTCTGCGGGCCCAGAGGGAGCCAGGTGTGCAGAGCGACTTGCTGAGACGTGCACCATGGAGGGCGCAGGTGTGCGAACCGCGCAATGCACAGGCCGCTCACACCTTGCGGTGTCACTTCACCTGACACGTGCTCACTGCTGGCTGCCTGAGCGTGTTCCCACCCACCCCACGCTCCTGGTGGAAAATTCCAGAAGGTCTCCTCAGTCTTGCTGTGCCCATTCCCTCGACCCCCATGGACCACCCACCCTGGGCAGTCAGGACGGGCTGGGCCCTCAGCCGTGCGTGCAGGGGGCTGTGCCTGGGCCGCACCCACCACTTTCCGGAGGCTCTCGTGCAGCTGGTTGACGACGACGCGCAGCCCCGACAGCTCGCTGGCCATGCTGCCCAGCTCCTCGCAGGAGCGCTCGCACACGCCCGGCCGCTGCGCCGCGCTGGGGCCCACGTACGCCGTGGTGACCGCCGGGCTCAGGTGCAGCGTCTCCGTGTTCTCGCTGATGGCGTTGGCCTCCGCTGCGGGGAGTGACGGAGAGCCTGGTCGGAACCACGTGGGCACAGCCCCCGGCCCCGCATTTAGCGGGAGGACCGTCCGCTCCTGACGCCCTCGGACTCAGCGCTGAGCCCGCCCGGCAGGGGGACAGATGTCGGACAGTCCTGGGGACCCACACAGGCCAGGGTCGTGTTCCTCTGTGTGGGCACGGCGTCCCTTTCCCGGGACAGTCCTGACTCGGGCACACGTTCTGACAGCTCGTGCCTCTTCCTCCACCGAGTTCCCACCAGAACTCCTCCTCTGCCGCTTGTCCTGGCTGAGCAGGATCGGTTGTCCTTGTCCTGCCCTCCCCCCCCCCACACACACACACACACGAGCAGAAACCCGCCCAAGACGGGGAGTGTGTTGTTCAGAACACACCTACCTCCCTGGCTTTGCGGACAGCCTTTCCTGCTGAGAACGTCTTCCACCGAATCTTCAAACACTAAGTAGACGTTCTGCAGCAACCCCTGCAGGTGTGACAAGGAGAAACACGGGGATGGGCAAACTGCACACCAGGGAGGCCTCGCTACGTGGACGAAAGAAAACTCGAGGTCTCCTGCCATGGGGGTGTCTGTGCTGCACGCTCGGCCCTGGCCCCTGTGGGCTGGGCATCCTGGCAGGTCCCCGTGGGAGCGGCTGGGGCATGATGGGCAGTGGAATTTACAGAGGAAGGAGGAGGCACGGGAGCTGGGAACTGTCTCTGAGCTCGGCCTGAGGGGTGTCCTGGGCTGTCCTCTGCTGGCTGGGCCTCCGAGGAGAACAGCCGCCGATGAATGTCCTGGGAACGTCTGGGGGTCCAACCACAGACACAGAAGATGAGAGGAAGTGTCTCCCACAGCCCGGGTGGTAAGTGCAGGTCAGGCTGGGTCAGCTTCTGCCACGGGAGCTTTCTGACCCCAACCCTGACCCTGACCCTTACTCTGACCCTTACCCTGACTCTAACCCTTACCCTGACCCTAACCCTAACCGTAACCCTGACCCTTACCCTGACCCTAACCCTAACCGTAACCCTGACCCTTACCCTGACCCTGACCCTGACCCTGGCCACCAGAGATTAACTCAGCAACATCTGTAGGCCTTTTACTCAAATAACAGTTACACACACACTTATTTCCAGAGAACATAGGTGCCTGGGAGAGACCGGCGTGCTCGCCCTCCTTCGTGGGTCCTTGCGCGCCTGTGGCTTTAAAAAGACCCTCTTCCCGAAGGCGTTTAACGAAGACCCCGTGGTGTTCCTCCCTGCCTTTCCTTGGAGAAACCGCTGCTCATCCTCCTCCCCTCACGGCGGCACCGAGGCGGACGGGGGCTCAGCACAGGGAAGCCAGCCTGGGTCCCGGAACGTTTGGGCCGACCCCTCGATCACATGAGCCTCGTTCCGAACATCAGCGGCTGTTTGTGCAGGTGAGAAAGTGCACCTGCAACACTCGCTCTGCCTGTCCTGGCGTGTGTGTGTGCGCACGCAGGTGTGGGCGTAGGTGTGCGTCATGTGAACGTGTGTGCAAGGATGTGGTGCTCGAGTGTGGTTGTGTGCACAGGTGTACATGTGGGTGTGCATGAGCACATGTGTGACGTTTGTTGAAGTGGCTGTACATGCCTGCATGCCCACACATGCGCGACTGTGTGTGGCCTGTGTGTGCACGTGTGTGTGTGTGTGTGTGCGCGCGCGCGCGCGCGTGCCTGACCTACTCCGACACAGGCCTCGTACCAGGAGATGCCCCACCGCCAGCGCTCCCACAGCTCTGCGGGCACCTGGCCGGCGCGTACGCACCCGGAAGTGGCTCTCCCGGGCGGAGCCTTTGGCCACGTACATCCTGCTCTTGTCCGTCGTCAGCTGCTCGTAGAAGGGCTCGTCCAGCGTGAAGCTGTCGATCAGGGCGCAGCCCACGTACAGGCTGAACGTCTCGCCCGCCACCTGCACGGTGACGTTCTTCCACTGGGCGTCGGCCAGGCCCACGTCCTCCAGGGACAGCACGTGCTGGGTGCCGTCCACCCAGTAGGTGAGGTCCAGCGTGTCGGCTGGGCCGTTGGAGACCAGCTCGAACTGCCTGTGCGCGCCGGGGCCCTCGAGGGCCAGCAGCGTGCCCCTCGACTTGCGGTCCTGCCGCAGGCTGGCCGTCAGGAAGAAGCCCTCCCGCTGCCGCATGAGCCGGGCGATCCGGCCCAGCTGGTCGGCACTCACGGGCGGGATGTAGTCGAAGCGCACGAAGCGGTAGGCCGGCACGCCGGGGTCGGGCCCCCGGAACTGCTTGGCCCCGATGGTCTTGCGGTTGATGTTGCTGATGCTGAAAAGGTCGAAGGCCGTGTCCTCGTCCTGGTCACCGGCTGCCCAAGGGAGCGAGCGGGGTTACAGCCGCGGCGCTGGGGCCGGGCGTCCTTACTCGGTGCCAGAAACGAACGAGGCCACCGACACCCAGGTCCCCTTCCCTCCCCACGGGTGCAGTGCCTTCTGTAGACCCTCAAAGGGGGTCCCCAAAACGGCTGGTCCCCTTGATGGGCCAGCGTATCACCCACAACCTCCCTGTGTCCAGGCCCCCGCCCCTCAGGTGACCACCATCCCCAGCGCAGGTTCCAGCCCCGCCCACTCACCCTGAGCTCCGCAGGAGGCCCAGAGGGCCGGCAGGACCAGCGCCCACAGCATCCCGCCTCGCGGCCGCCGGCACCTGCAGACATGAGAGCCAGTTAGTCACAGTGCAGCCCTCAGTGCGGACTCGACTTCCTATCCGCTGACCATTGGCAAGAGGTCAGCGTTGTGGCCGGCCCCGTGCTGATCGCATTGGATGTTTGTGCTATAAATCGTCGTCATGAGCCAGGAGGTAAGTGCTCCTGCTCTCGTCTCGTGTGCGGAGTCCTCGCCCTGCCGCTGCTCGGGGTGCAGCCAGGACCTGACCGAGGAAGTCGGGTCTGGAGAAACGTCAGCGTGTGGACGTGACCCCGCAGGCATGTGGAAATCGCCAAGGCAGCAAAGTTATGCACGACCGACTGAAACAATGCACACGAGGTGCACACGCGTGAGCAATGAGCTTGGTGTGGGGCACCGTCACCACAGAAAACAAACCACACGCCTTGGACACGTTTCCCTCGCTGGCGCGGTTCCGCAGCCTGTTTTTCCGTTCGTTCTTGGGGATTGTCAGTTGGCCGCCTCAGCAGAGGCTGGGCCAGGAGTCAGGAGACCTGGCGGCTGCGGCGGCTGCAGTTAACCCCCGCTGGCCTCCCGGGTCCTGAGCCCAAGCCCTGGGGCCCGATTTCTCCCCAGGCAGGACCTCCGAGCGAGTTGGGGTGACGGGTCTCGGTGCTGAAGGAGCCGCCTCTCCAGAAATGTTCGTCAATGGCCCCGTCTCTGGGGGGGCGGGGGGGGATGCCCAGGGGACGGGACGCCTGCTTTACACCATCAGCCCCGGGGAGTCACCGGGGAAGTGGGGGGCCCAGGGCTGGGGCGCCGGCGAGCCTCTCTGTGTGGGTCCCCCATCTGCAGGGTGGGGAGTCGCCCTTTAACGTGCCCGCTGCCAGGTGGGTGTGAGGAGCGTGTGCACTGGGTCACGGAGCACAGCACCCACATGTGTTGGTCACACAGCTGCTCGCATCTGGACGCATGCCCGTGACCGCCCGGCGCAGGGGCAGCGAGGGGTGTCAGCGGGCCCTCGGGAGGATTGGGGGACATGAGCAAACGCGTGTCCACGCTCATCAGCGAGCTGCCGGTCAGTGGTCCACGCGGCGGCCCGAGGTGCCTCTGTCCCCTACGGACAGCGGGGGAGGCTGGCCCTGGCAAAGGCAGGCCCATCCGGAACGTAAACTGTACACTCTGGATGCCAGCTCCCCGAGTCCAGGCTTAAACAGTGAGCGAACTCTGTTCCGACCACGGACCCTGTGCTCCCTAAAGCAGAGGTGTGACTGTCTGTCTGTCTCTGCCACGTGCCACCTGGGGCGAGGGTCTCATCTCGCGGGTGGAGACGACAAGCACACCTGCAGGCACCGCCCGCCTCCCGCATCAGAGGAGCGATCCCAGCGGCTCGGCCAGGAGGCCCGAGAGCTGCCGCGGTCTCAGTCTGTCTCTCCGCCCTCACAGCAGGAGTGACGAACGGAGCGCGGCATCCGTCTGTGCGAGACCCAAGGCTGCGCTCCAGGGCCCCCTCGCCCCTGCCTCCGGCCACCCTGGCACTTGGCATGGACTCGCTCCTCGCCTTTCATCAGTGACCGGCCTTGGGAGGGGCGTGCTCGGTCGGGGTCTCGGGTTCTCAGAGTTGTTTCCCCCTAATTCCTTCCCCTCGGCCCCCCCAGAGCAACCACCTTCCTGGGCAGAGTTCTCCTTCTGCAGCGGAAACACTCGCAGGCGCTCCCGGCAGGTACGGCCATGAAACCACGTCGGGCAGTGACGCAGGTGCCCAGGCAGAGGCCGGAACGGCCGCGCCCCAGCCCCCCGTGGGTACAGACCGGGCGTGAGACACGGCGGCTGGACCACGTCGCCACCTCCTCCAACTGAACCTACGCCTCGTTTCCGTCTCCCTCAGAACTCAGAATTCTTCTCCGAAAACTAAATGAAGCTAAACGACAATGAGACCCTTTGGAAAAGTGAAAAAGTCTTACCGGGAAGAGAAGAGGCCGCAGGGAGGGCTGATCGGGGCCGGGACGGTCGGGCTGGGGTGGGTGGGCGCTGGGCGGGGCGCGGACGGCCGGGCTGACGAGCGGGGGGCGCACTGGCCTCCGGGCAGCGGCTCTGCTTTATATGCTCCTGTCTCCGCTTAATTCATTCCCTCGAAGGAATGACATAATTCCTCCTCCTCCAGGACCGCAGGGGAGGGGCCAGACGGGGAAATGGCTATAAATAAACCGCAGGAGCAGGAATGCCTCTCGCTGCGTGCGTCTCCGTGGCCGAAGCGGGGCTGGCCTTTCTCACCCGAGAAGCCGTCGCTGGGAGGCAACGGGGCGAGGGCTGCCGAGTCCACGGCGGGCGACGCCCCCACACGGACGAACTGATCATGAGCAAAGGCAACTATTTAACCCAGAGGCTCGCGGACACGTTCTGTGCTGCCTCCGAGACTGAGAGGAGGGTTGGGAGAACTTACCTGCGTCCGAATCCGACTTCCTTTGCTCAGTCCGAGCCCGGCCTCTCCGGCTGCCCAGACCCGACAGGCCCGCTCGCCCCACAATGTCCCGGGCGTGAGTGACCGCCATCCGCTCCCCCGGTGCAACAGGCAGCCTGCCGTGCGGTTGTGCAGAATAAACACTCAGAGTGAAAACGGTGGCAGCAACCAGACTGCCTGCCATTCGCCAGAGCTCACATCCCAGGCTTGTTGGGGGGGCGGTCATCGGGGGGGTCAGCTGCACGGGCTGGGTCTGCGAGGGGGAGGGGGAGGGGGAGGGGCGGGGCTCCGGGTGCCTCTGGGTGCCTGATGGGGGACACACACAGCAGCAGACACACGCTGGGTCTGTGCGGGGTGGGAGGGTGGAGGGGGGGCTCCAGGTGCCTGGGGGGACACGCACAGCAGCAGCCGAGCTGCTGGTCTAGGCCGTGTGGAGCGTGTGTGAGGGGTCGGCGCTGCCCCGCCTGGAACTGGGCCGCGGAGCTCGCTGAGGGACCTGCCTCCCCGCCTGGTCCGTGCGGCTCCTGCCAGGGCCCGGCCGGTGGGCGGGAGGGGTGACGGGAGAGGAGGGTCTGTTCCTGTTCACGTTGGGGAACCACCTCCTGTGGGAGCCGTCAGCCTCCGTCTCGGGGACCATCGTGATCCCTGATCGCGGGGAGGAGAGCGCCCAGGCTCCTGAGGCCAGAGCTGGCGATGAAGCCGCCAGAACAACCGCCGGGCCTCAGGGCAGAGCAGGTGCTGCCTCCGACCCGCGGGCGTGTGCGCCACTTCCCGGCGAGGCTGCCGGCGGGCGGGGCCGGTCACCCTCACTGGCCCACAGGCCGGTTCCGTGGCTGAAGGTGGGGTTTGGGCGTCTCGGGGGCCAAAGGGGCAAGTGCAGGTCCCAGCTGCGTCCATGTCACCCTCACGCGCCTGCGCGGAGCAGGGACTGATCCAGCCGGGTCAGCCCCCCTGGCGGTGGGGGGGGGGGGTGTCCCAGGAGAGGCGCCGGGCGGCCGAGAAAAGGGGGGCCCAGAGCAAAGCCAGCCCCGCCTGGAACTGGTCTGTGCGGGGGAGTCGGACGGCCAGAGGCTGGTCCTGGGCCCTGCACAGAGGGACGGCCGGGGGAGGGGGGTCCATGGAACACAGGGCAGAGTCGGGGGCGCGAGGGGACAGCCAGGCTCCTGCGAAGTCCATAGACTCGAGTGAAGCATCGGTTCAAGGGGGGACAGTGGGTGTCAGAGGGGTGAGGGGGCACAAGCAGGTTCGTGCTGGGGTGAAGCACGTTCCCCCCGAATTCTTGTCCACCTGAACCCTGTGGGCACAGCCCGCCCAGCGAGGCTGCAGCCGCCCGAGCAGGAGGGGGGCCTGGGCCCAGGCCTTTCAGTTCCGGTCGGTCCACCCGGGAAGCTCGGCAGATGCGCTGGAGGCTCCGGAAGCTTCCATCCTCATGGGCATCCCGTCAGAAGTGGTGGGTGCAGCGTCGTGACCCGTCCGGGGAGATGCCACGCCCGCCCTGGCCCTGCCGTCAAGACGCGCTCAGTGGCCGGGGCCGGGGCCCTGGTCAGAGCAGGACAGGCGTCGTCCGGCCTCAGCGTCTGGCTCGGGAGCCACGTGATGTGGGGACCACGGGAGGAGCCGGGAGGGGAGGGGCCGCCACGTCGGAGGGCGGTGGCCCGGAAAGGTCTCCGAGGCCGCAGGTCGTGGGTCACGCTCTTGCCTGGGGGGGCGGATGGGCCCCAGCAGCTCATCGCGGGGGATCAGGTGAGAAGCCGTCAGCTCAGGCACCACCGCCCGTGGGCGCCCGGGTCCCACCAGGTATAGGGGGTCCCACCGGGCACGGGGTGGGGTGACGCCCAGGGTCCCCCAGGAGCTCCCGTGGTGACAGTGTCCCCCGATGCCGGGTCCGCCGGGCGGTGCCGGGGCCGGAGGCACAGCAGGTGGAGGGACTCGCGGTCCAGGGAGGCCAGGCCTCGGCTCAGGCGCCTCCGGGCGGACGGGAAGGGCTCTGTGGCTTCGGGCGAGTTTGGGATGGACACTGGCAGGAGGGGTGAGGACCCCGCTCCCTCCCGGCGCCACCCGATGACCCTGACACGGCAGCATGGCCGGGGCTCGGGCAGGGGCTGCACGGAGTGGGCGCAGGGCAGTGTCCAGCAGGTGGACCGGCGCCGTGAGGACATCTGAGTAGAGGACGAACGAGCTAATTCATAGCGAAGACAACGTGACCACCGAGCCCTCCCACGCCCGGGCTCCGAGGGGCCAGGCTGGACGGAGTGGAAGGAGGGCGGGGAGCCCCGGACGGGCTGGTTCCCCGTGGGAGCCGGGGGTCAGGGTGCGGCCGGGCCCTCGCTGCGCTGCGTCTGGGAGGAGGAGCTGCAGAGGCTGCGCCAGGGCCGGCGGGGAGCCGAGCGGGAGGGCTGCTCCGTGTGACGTCCGGCGGCATCTGTTTCCTCTTCATCTCCGGGGCGTGAGTAAGCGAAGGGCTTTCCTACCCCCCTCTGGGCGGGGCAGGGGTTCCGGGAACTCGTGTCTTAACTAAAAACAGAGGGAAGCGAGTCATCCGCAGAGGAGCGGGCGGGGAGAGGTCACGGCAGAAGCTCCGAGGGCCAGGCCAGGCGATGAGGTCACGGTCACGCCCACCCATGTGAGCCGAGCCTCCCAGGAGCTGGGGCGGGGCTGGGGGGGGGGGGACAGCCCTTTCCTGGGGGAGGCGAGGAGCCAGGTTCCCAGCCCCGAGAGCGCTGGCGCTGTCGTCCCCCGCCTCCGGGCCTCAGTGTTTTTCTCCTTGTGAAAATGGGCACAACCCACAGACACGGGTTTTGGGAGCCAGGCCCAGCCGTGGCCCCTCGACGTCGGGGGGCCCTGCACCCAAGCCCTGGCCCTTTGTCCCACTGGTGGACTCCGGCGAGCCAACGCGCACCAACTTCTCCGGAATCCCGGAGCCTGGTGCCCCGGCCGGTGAGGGCGAAGGGGGCCCCACCCAGCTGA